GTAATGACGTTTATGAAAATTGACATATGTCTATCAGATAATTAACTAAAATTTGAACTTTGGCCTAATAGCCTTTCAGTAGCTTTACTGTAAATCTATATATTCTTTCTAAAGTTCATGAATAAACATCGTAAATACGAGTTATATAAAGAAATAAATCTATAACTATGTTTTAATATGTTCAGGACTAGCCAACCGCCGCGGCTTCACCTGGGTAGATAGATAGAAAGGTGAATTAGTATTTTAAATTAGTACTTGGACACAGAAGATAACGATAGTACTAAAGCGTAAGGTTGTTTCTTTTACACCGAAGCATTTTTATACCCGTTGTAATTTCTAAAGGCCCGATTCGAATAATTAAAAGAGGGATTTACATGATAAGGAATAATACGATACAAATATCGTCATCTTTCAATTGTATCAATATTTTGAGTAATTTGAATAGAAAACAGTTATTGTGATTTAACTATAATAGTTAGATATAAAGAAGTCTTGCGGACTTTTTTGTGAGGAATGATGAGTACTATAAACCCTTAAACCCTGTTGAACTATAAACTCTTGAAAATACGTAAAATAATGTACTACATATTATTTTACGTGCCATCAAGTGTATTCACAGCTCATGCCGTACAAATGTCATTCATAGGAAAATTTTAAATCGTGGGTTCTTTTTATGTTAGGAGCTTATAACGTATAGATAAAGTAATTTTTAAAATCGGTAAGTAATTTTTAAGCTTATTCATTATAAACAAAAAAAAAAACAAACAATAAAATCTTGTAATGGTATAATTATTTTGCGTTTGAAAATTACTGACTGTTGCGTTATCAGTAAACAGTTACCGCTTAAAAAAGCACATTAAGTATGAGATATACGCATTTCAAGAGTTTCGTATGTAAAATAGTCTATAAATAAGTTTTCAATATCATTAAATAAAATATTATTTATATATTAGATAAACGTGATCTTATGTGCAAATGTGTTTATTGAGTGTATAAAGATAAAACTTACATTTTAAGTCTTAAGGACTGTCTATGGTATCGAATTTAGTGTAGTAGTTCTTGCGAGATGCCGAAATAAATATACAGACAGATAAATACACAAATAATATTATTTTATTGTCTGTTTCTCTTATTAAGACCTCCCTTTATTTTTTTCTTCAATAGTTTTCGTGTACAGATATTGTCTATGTAATTACAATTTTATTATATTTGTAAAATATTCATTGTTACATTATTTACAATTATTTCATTATTTGATGAAATAATTAAATTAATTAATTAAATAATCATCACAGGTATAATTTTTAAAATAGATTAAATCTTGCTAGTGGAAAAGAATATAATTAATTAGCAATAAATATGGTAAGTACCTATAGTTTGTCATTGTACAATAATATAACAATATAACAAATACAAATATATAAATATAAGACACATGATAGACATGTTTAATTTTTTTTGTAGAAACATAGAAAACATCTTGATTAACACTGACAGATATGAATAGAAATATTTGTGTAATGTGGAAATTGAGCTCGGTAACTATGGAAGGCAAACCACTGCGTTAAACTACTACACTACCAAAATTATACAGTAGGTCAAAGGTATTTTACCCAAAAATTTTGACAAACAATTTGACAGCTCACCGATTTCAGTGGTAACTGTCGCAGACATGAAAAGTACATGGACGTACATAAATTATGTACTGTGATGTTCATACATAACTCTCATGTGTTGAAATTTTTAGTGACGGTCAGGATCAAATCAGCTATGTTGGTTTCGTGAGATGAATAAGAAAAATACTAAGTCGTGGTGAAATAGAATATAAATAAAAAAATAGCAAAGTGTTTCGTGATGGTTATTACAACATTATTGTATACAGAAAAATATTATTGTAATGTGTTTAGTAAAGGATTACTTAAGTTTCATATTTCAAGCAGACCATTAAAAAATATTCAATATTGAGTAGCATTTTGTCCGCTACTTGGTATGCGTGGATTTCAGAAGTAGGAAAACTAACGAAATAGATCACTTCTGGATGGCGTAACAAAGCATACACCAATTTTTAAGTTACACGTTCAGGAATACAACTTGAAAATTACCTCCAATTTGATGTACTAGCACTTGCGTGATGCCAAAACAAACACACAGACAGACAGTAAGATATTTACTAACATAAGTGTTTTTTTATTATATACATTTCTTGCGTCAAATAGAATATTTTTCATTTTTGCTCTAAAAGATTGCTTTATATATATATATATATATATATATATATATATATATATATATATATATATATATATATATATATATATATATATATATATATATATATATATATATATATATAACTAATGGATCAGTATAAATGTATTTAAAATTATAAATAAATTTTTAACGCTTTAGAAGATCAAAGTTGGTTAGAGATTAAATACATAAGTATCTAATAATCAATTTAGATAATAATGCAAATGATTTTATATTCATTAAGAATTTAATACGTTCGCAGTTAATTATAAACACTTATATTCCAAGCGTAACTATAGTCTAGCGTTCAATAATACGTACGGATGTTCTAGTAGATATTTTATGGTTGATTTAATACTAACTTAAAAATAGATTCGTTATTATTGAAAAGAATACACATGCTTTCAACAAATTAAGTGTAATGTTCTAATGTATATAATGCGTTTTTAACCAGATGTTATTATTGTGATGTTTAATTATGAGAAAACTTGTAAGAACTTTTTAAATTTTGTATTATAAGTGAAAATGCCACAGAGTAATTACTAGGAATGGTATTAGAAATTCGGAATGCAGCATAAATAGCTATATATTTGAGAAGACATGACGTAAACATGAATCTTATCCAGGCATTTTAAGAATATTAAGAGGTATTTAGAACATACCAATGTAATCAAGCTTAACTATATTAATATTAAAATATCATATTGCCGTAGTCCTAAAATGATAAAATGACATATTAATTGTGTGAATTTTATAATAGGTGTCTAATATTATACTCGTATAGGTGTATACTGACCACTTTTAACACTCTGCCTCATCTTCCAATGATTGCAGGTGTGATCTTAGCGTAACACAAATATTTGTATTCGTGTGCATATGTTTGTTCTGGTTTACATGTTATCTATATATAATATGAATGTATTTATGTCGTAAGGTCCCAGAATTGAATGGGCTATCCCTTCTTTTCCCGTGGAACGTCGTAACAGGTGACTAAGGAAACCTAATGGTCGAGAGTTAGGCAGCAGCGTTTCTCTTAAAACATAAAAGCCTCATTGCGGTCTGTCTAAGCTAACCAGCCTGCGAGCGTGGTAATGACTAGCAAATCTCACCAAGGGGGAGGTCTATGTTCATCAGTGGACAGTTAGCGGCTAATATGGTATGGTATAGTCTTCACAAAAATAAATGTACAACTATCAGTGTTTTATAGCATTCACTACATGCTCTAGTTTGACACTACGTGTATTATGTCCAGCAGTATTTATTTAATTACTATTTCTTACTACTTCTAATAACTTCTTTTAATTTTCACTCACGAGTTATCATAATATTATGTGGTCAGTTATTATAAATCAGGTAGCACTTTTCAGTATCAGAGAGCATCTTAATTGTTCTGTTTGTTTACCTTCCATTCTCACGATCTGCGCTAATCGTATTTAATAAAAATGAAACAATGAAAAATTACTACGCAAGAACTATACAACTATTTATGTGTATATATAGGTAAACTTACAATTTTAATTATTATGGTTTTACACATGGCTTTTGTATTACATATTGTAATTATTATTACGTATAATTACAATAACTAATATTAAAACTTCTACATTAAAGTAGACTTAGAAATTTATGATATTTAACAATTTAAATAATTTACTAATAAGGGTTCTTACAAATTTTTCAGATCCTTTCTTATCAATGGTACAACTTTGAAAGGTGCTTTGTTTGTTTGTTGCACTAATACATATTATATAAAGAAGTTTGATCAATCAAGATATTCCCATTACGCTGTCGCATGTAACATTTCCATTTAAAATATATTTTTTTTTTCAGAAAAAGTGCTGGCGATTTTAGAGTAGTTAAAAATTTGTTTATAAATCTGTTCCAATTTCAATGAGATGCAATTTATTTAAATTATATACATATGATAGGAGCGTGTGCGATCCTTTTTCTACATTTTGACATAATGATGTCCACAGGGAATACAAAATTTGAAAATTACAAAAAAAAAAAACACGTTATTATTGTCGATGGTTGTGATCAGAATGCATATTTTATTTTTATTTTTTTGAGCAAGTATATTAAAAAAATATCCTATTCGGTTCACAATTTGCAAATTATTTGCAAGTGCAATAAATAGCATTTCAACATTGTTACATGTTATTATTATATCCAATATTATATGTAACTGTTATATGTGTGTAATTTTATGAACTTACTAAATTTATTTTTTCTGGAAATTGTTTCGACTTCTTCCGCAAGCATTCATCAGGGTACGGTAGGGCGGGTGAATGAATAATAGTTAAATAACCATAAGTATTAAAAATTATATTGTTACTGTTAGATTATTATTACATATTAGAAATCCAATAAGTAGATACATAAATTTTTAATTAAAAAAAAGAGGAGCCTATTTACCTTAATGTGTATATTATGTATATATTACGGTAAATCCGTATATATATAGAACTATGTTTACCTAACTTCTATTTGCCCTGTTTTATATTTTATATAAATCGCTAAATAAATGCCAAATTTCTAAGCTTATAAAATGTTAATATTATAAAAGTTTGCATTTCTACTTTTAAAAAAAAAATAGTAAGATAGAACTAAAATAATACATGCACTATTTTTTTAGTTCTATCTTACTATTATTTCCATACAAGATACAGAAATAGATGCAAGATTAACCGAGCCTGTATGTTATTTGGGCGAAACATTAGAAAGTTGTGATATAAAAAATAGACACTGACTTACTGGTAATATGTACCGCGTGAAGATTTGAACAACAAGTAGTGAATGTTTATAAACCACCTCTCGTGAACGCCAACGGCAGGTGACTGATTGCCACGAGCAGTCTCCTCACTAAATAATGTCCCATTCATGAACTATGCGTACATGACGAGTCAAAAGTTTGGAGTAGTCATAGCGTGACATTTGCTTCATACTTGTTGTTTTTTGGTAAACGCCGAAATTACATTCCAACGCTGTATTGTTTCAACCTGCCAGCCTGTTTATGAACATTTAGATATGTTCTTAACTGTGGTACTGAACCTAGTAGCAAACTAACACGTTCAATTGAGAAATAATATGTTAAACATGCAATTCACTTTCAGATTTTGATGAAATTTTTTTTATTGTTATTTGGAAGTTTAAAAAAGCAAAATACAAAGAAATGAAAAATTTAATTTTAGCAAAAAAATATTAACAATTTGTTCTATGTTTAACATTTTAGTTCATTTGCTTTTAGAGCATTTGCTCTAATATATAATTAGTTTTTATCAAAAATAAACACCAACTCCAATATTTTTTACAATTAGATATTTAATATTTAATTGTAAAAAATATTGGAGTTTGTAATTAAAAATTGACAGATAATGCAGATTATAAGGCAAGGATTATAAGATCTATTAAGTATTTTTGATACTATTGTTTTATAAATTATCTGTGTGTCTACCATGAAAATTAGAAAAAAGTAATTTAAATAGATGGGCATTAAAATCACCAAAAGGTGGTTGTTAACAAGTGCTTTATTCTTTAACCAGTGTCATACTATATGATGTAAAAATTTTAACGACATCCCAAGGTAATAATGGAATAAAGAAACTTACATGATCCCTAAAAACATTATATCTACTTATTTTTTTGGGCAGTCGTTTAAAAAGGTGTGATTTTGATCATTGGGATATTTCAGATAGAGTTTATAACGAACCTAACATTTTTTTTCGGTGTACAGGTTTTCCTAGTATGAGTTGTACAAAGTTCATATTACGATTGCGTTCATATTTATCTCGATAACTTTGTATTAAAATCTGAATTCATGAAATTATTCATTAGAGGTGTAGTTAAGTTTTTAAGAAGTATTTGTAAAGCTTCCAATTACTCACATTAGACATCTAGTATTAGTTGTATTTTTTTTCACCTCAATTGTATTTTTGTAAATATTAGCTCTAGCCTGTGACGTTCAATAGCTTATAACTTTCCACAAGAAATGAGCTATCAAGTGCATAAAGAACTTTTCAAATACGACTAGCCCAGAGGTTAGCGCGTTAACTCTTCTGCTTTATTATATTAATATAGATAATTGAAAACTTCCTCTTTATAGACTTTCTGTTTTTAATAAGGTTCTATTTTATCTATTTGAAGTTCGCATATTGGCAATATTTGTTTTAAATCTGTAAAGCTGTAATTTTATCATATCTATGGTAAAGGAGTATTAAAATATTTTCCCTGCGTTTGTTTTTCAGACAAATATAGTCTAGACTTGTATTTCATCAATTTAGTAATCTTCCTTCCATTATAAAATTGTATTATTAATTACATAGCAAATTATTAACTGGTTTTGTAAAGATTTTAATGTAAGTACAGACTTTTTTACTTTGTTTAAAAATTTTAAATCTTTATTTGAAATTTATTTACTGTGGTATAGAAAGTAAAAACTTACAGAATATTTAAAAAAATTATACATGGTTGGTATGATTGATCAATTATTATTATCTGGTGGTTTTTAATTATTAATTGGACAATTTATTTTTAATATAACTTTATTGACAAATGTTATATTCTAAAAAAGTATAAATAAGGGTCCAAAATACATATGTGAGTAGCGAGAACTTTTCAAACATGCAATGTCATGTCACCGAGCCTGTGTACGGGCCACATGCACTCGCAACCAGCTGGTATCACCATGGTCCTCGTCTCCCAGCAATCACTGAAATCACCAGGAAAACTTATAAGTTACAAGCACATATAAAAGTAAATGATATATATGTGCTAGCTAAAATGAATCGCTATTTATATATAAATAGCAATTTTAAGAATCTATGTTTTATTTTTATGTAAGAAATATATATATTTTAGGAGGGAAGTAGGTACAGTCAAATTTTAACCGCTCAACTCACAAGGTAATTATCATTTCATATTATGGTTTAAGACATTTATTTATCTAAAGATTTGTACATAAATCATATAAATCAGAAATTAAAAAAACTATAAACATGCATATTCATACTTGTCTTGATGAGATAAGCTACTGAAAAGATATAAAATTGTCATCTATATAAATATGCTGTTCCATAGTTAACGCAGACAACGAAACTCAAGCTTCGATGAAATTTCACTACTGTTTCAAAACAGTACATCGATAAACTGCAGTTGTATCCTTTTTATAGAGACTTGCAACTTTATATAGAATAGAATAGCCAGAAGTGTCATTCCGAGGAATTTTTTTTTTGATGGGTGAAAATGGAATGGTAACCCCCCCCCCCCCCCCCCGCCTGCGCTAATGGGATACGCTGGCGGAGCACCAGTGAAGGGTGATAGATGAGAATGAAAACAGGCCAGTTAGCCCATCGTGATGAATTTACCAGGAATTAACCATGATAGTTTCCAGGGGGAACAGCGAGGAGGTCGACCTGGTTGGGTATATTGCTAGCAATAGGATTCTCAGTCTCCATTACTAACAATCCCTTTTCCTCCCCTTTCCGAAGTATTGATAAACGGTATTATGGTACTAATAATATATTTTGCTGCTGTTACTTCTATAAAAATTTGCAAAAGTAGAGCTAAAGGGGCATTGGCATATACGGTATCACACATTTATAATATTAGTAGGATTTACAATATTAATGCGATAGTCATAATCCTATTAATATCATAAATACTACTAATAATTTAAATGTAAAGATATTTGAATGTTTGACACACAATCACTTTTAAACGTTAAGTGGATTTGAATGATATTTGTTACACACAAATATTGTATAATATAGTCACGTGGAAAAATCGTCGGAAAACAGCTAGTATCATATGTATATAGAGAAATAATATAAAGATAATAAGCACTACGTGATTAAATTATTTCATATTTTGTAAATTACAATAATGTAGCACACCTGGAATATCGTCTTCTTGTCAAATGAATAGTTTTGTTCCACTGAACACAAGAAAACCCAAGACTGGAACAAATCTGAAAATGAGAAGGAAACAATAAGAATTTTTGGAATAACAATTTAAAAGAAAGAACGTTTTTAATAAATTTTGATTATAAATTTTCTTGGACAGGAATTAACTTTTCGGAAAGAAAGTCTTAATAAGTGAAATGAATAAAAAAATCTAACTTTTAATACTTCTTTTTTTTACAAGAACCTGTAGGTATATTATAAACTATCAATAGCATTACTACATAGATGTGATTTTTATTTCTCTCAAATATCAAACCTTTTGCCCCAAAAACGATTTACCAAACTTTCATTTCTATCCAACCGCAAATTTTTGTTCGGTTTTTACTATAAAAAATCAGTCAAGCGTGAATTGAATACACTCATTTCCGGAAATAAAATGTTAAAGACATTTTCCATAAGGTTTTTGTTTTATTTAGATAAATATATTTAAATATGTTGTACATTTGCCGTTGCTTCAAATATACCCCGAAACATCAAGAGAAATAAAACCAATTATTCAGTGCAAGACCTAAATTAACATAACATAAGAAAATCAAACTATTGTAAACGAGTACATTTTCTTATATGAACACATTATCCCAGTCTAAATTTTTAACAATTTCAATAGAATAAGTTCTGAAAAATTTTGATTAATATGGTACTAAAAATGTATTCAAAAATATATATAAATAGTCATATATAATACAAAGTAAAATCACCTCCTTATTATATTTTTATATGACAAAGGCACTTAATAATTATTATTGTTATTCCATTTAGGAACTCCGTAATCAGGCTGTAACTGTGGCTAGAAACCTGACCACAAAATTAGGTTTTTTTTTATACCGTACTAAGTAGTTATTGTAGTCTATGAACGTCTCCAATGACGGGCATTACGCACGCGTTGCCGACACTGACGAAATCTTTTTACTTTTCTTTCATTCCATAATCTAAGCGTTTCTAGGAGGGAACATCTTTGAAACCACGTTGTACACAACCATCCCGGCTCTAAGGTATAGGGTAAACTCCTATCCCTGTCGGTGGCGAGTTGTACGATTGTAGAAAGTGGCCAAGGATATCATCTTATACAATATTTTTAAAGTTTTTTATAAATTGTCAAGAATTATGGTAGTTAGAAAAATAGTTTTTTTTTTACTGTAATATTGTAATATACTTTTTTAAGCTATAATTATTTTTGATATTTTGCTTCATCGACTTCGGAAAAGGAGGGAATAGTTTTTATATTTTTAGTCATAAATCAAAAACTATACAGCATAAATATAAATAAAAATATACAAATAAAGTCCTTTTATAAGGTATCCTACATGGATTAGTGAGATTTTAAAATTTTTAGATCCTCTTTTGGTCTCCATAGCAAATAAAATAGTAATTTTGTTTTAGTTATTTGTATAAAAAAAAATACTAAGAATAATATGTGAAACAATTCCAAATTTCAAGTCAATAACAATAATGTAATAGTTGCTGTGATATAAGGTTGCGGTAGACGGACGGACGGACAAAGTTGCACAATAAGATTTTCTTTGTACCTTTTTGTTATGAAACCCTAAAAACTACTAAGCCAATGGACGAAAAAAAAACGTCGTCGCTCTCAATGCTGTCCTTGACGTTAAAATTTCTCCAACGTTTAATTCAATAAAATTTTCCAAAATTACTTTAGCAGAAATCTTTTTACCTACTAACGTTGATAACGGCTATTGAGGGGAGAATAATGATCAGTAAAGGACGATAATCCCCATTGTTAACAACATACCTTTCAGGTCAATTTCCACGTGGTTTCCCCTGGAAATCAAGTGATTAATTATTATTGTCAAATTAATTGCGATGGGCCAACGGACTTAACTTGAACCTCACCTATCATCCCTCACTGGTGCTCCACCAGTGTACACGTTTACCGATAGCGCGGGCGGGATTACCAATTCCTTATCGTCAATAAAAAAAAAACCACAGCTATTTCATCTAACGATAGGAACAAATGTGTTCATACCTACTTTTGAAACAACCACATTAAAATTTAGATTCCTCCCGCATTATCTATAAACCGTTTTGTTTATGTTGCATTACAAGAGTAAATATGAAATGAACAGCTGTGCTATTTTGCAAAAATAATTTAATTAGTACCGTAATTTGAGTTTTTATATATTAAAAAAAAACATAAATACTAGGTAGATTGAAAATAATTACATATTTTGGACTTGTAAAAGCAAGAGCCATGTGTTCTTGCCTCCAAAATAAAAAAAAGGCAACGGCATTTTCCAATAGAGCATGCTTACGCAAAGATCAGCGAAGATGACACCACAATAATATAACGTAACCAAACATATCTCATAAAAAACAAGCGATTAAATATAGATATATTTGTATTGCAATATATATGTTGCAAAATATGTAATCAATTACGATCATTCATCATTCATTATATACTACTATAATATTATAAATGCGAAAGTTTGTGTAGATGAATATTTGTCACTGTTGAACGGACTTGAATGAAATTTGGTAGGTGTTTTTTAATGGATGATAATAGAGTGGTAACCCCGCCTGCACTAACGGTATACGCTGGCAAGGCACCAGTGAGGGATGATAGGTGAATAATAAAAAAACAGGTCATCATGATGAATACATCTGGAATTCAACACGATAGTTTCCAGGGGAAACTGTGTGGAGCTCTACCCGACAGGATATATTACTAGTAATGGGACTGGTAACCCGCATTACTAACAATCCCTTTCCCCCCCTACACTGGTAGGTTAGGTCTTAATTAGAACTGTAACAAGCAGTACGGTAGTGCACCTGCGAAGCCGAGCACAGTTGTACTATCTTTTTCTAGAAGCAACTCACGGTATTTTTGATCTTTCCGTAACTTCTTTGTGTATAAGACGAGAAGCTTGAATTTTTAGTAAGCAAGAGGACATACTATAATAAGCTACAGTGTATATTTAATACTTATACCTTATCTAGTACGAATTATCGCTAGTCAAAGTAATTGTGTGACTGACACATTTACCGAGTATCAAAATTCTAAGGTATTTTTAGCAATCTCACAAACTTCAAATGTTAGTTAATCAATAAAGGAAAGAAAAAATGAAAATTACAATGACTTGGCAATTGGAAAACACTATAAATATAAAAGAATAATCGCAATAGTAGATTATTTATTAGGTTATTCTTTTATAGTTATTGTGTCGTGTAATTATATATAAATAAATGAACGAACGCAATATAAACGAATGAATGTAAATTTTAATAAATATAGAAGGAAAGTTTTTTTGTTTTTTTTTTTAACATTCTCGAAATACATATTTTTAAATTTTACAAAAGACTTTTTTTTTATAAATATTATTTTACAAGTGACAAATTACAGGTGCCCCCATTAATTCAATCTAATGTCGTTTAGTTAATTCGATTACGATATGTTATGAAACCATGTCGTTTGTTATAAGGAAAAGTTTTAAATAGCGGATTTCTTGACTAATCAGAATCAATTTCTAGAGTAACCTTATAGGTCAACTTGTTCGTTATTAAAATTCGTATTCACAATCTTGATGGTTTTTTTTATATTAATATTTATAAATATATTATTAATAAAATATATTAATAAATATATAAATATATTAATATGTTCTCGCTTTATGGAAATCAAATCATATTTATTCGCTTGCTACATGGGACAATAAGAAGTTACATATACAAGTAGGTACATAACATGCAGCACCCCGCAAAGGTATGCAAATGTTAAACTGTATTTAGTCTTCACATTATCTTACAATTATTAAGTCCAAACATTTTTCAAAATATGACTTCTACACGTTTATATCTGTAAAGCCTTTGTAATGAAACTTAGTTTAAATGAAAGATAAGCAAAAATATATTATTATGCACTTGGGCTGCTCTCCGTTCACTTTACCTTTAGTTATTTTAGTATTTACGTAGATGTGTAAAAATATAAAAGTATAAATCATTTAAAATAATTTTTTCTCAAACATGCTTGGAAATGTGAGCATTATTTTGACAATCTTCTTCGAGATAAATCAAAATTGCCGTACTGGCCAAGATACATGCGGGCAGCGGCCGGCAAAAGTTGCATGAAAATCCATATCTGTCGTGTTTTGCGGCCAGATAAATTACTATGTAAACTCATATTTGTCCTGTAATTTAAAAATGGAATGACCTTTTACTTCGAAACATGGCTATCAAAGAGGTAACTAATAAAAGGTTTTATTTAAATTTCGAACTGGCTTGCAAATAGAAAGCTGTTTATTGAAAAAAAAAAAAAAAAAACAAAGGAACATTATGGCGCGTGAAAAATTATTATTGTTCGTTATTCGTTATTGAATTTAAAAAGTAAAATTGTGTTTTTGATTTCCGCGCATTGTTTGAGAAAAGTACTATACAAGCCTTGGCCACAACTAGACATTGATGGACTCACGTATGTGTGCCTCGGTTATACCTCGGCCCACATTTGTACGTTCGTCCATCAATGCTTCAGTTGCTGGCCGCTGCAGTAATGTACTATACCTCATTAGAACCACTAAAGTCTTCATTGTTGACGGCACTGCAACGCACTTCCTCATAGTAAGCGGGTCGGTACTCATATTCATTTGTATTTAGTCTTCGAATCTTCCTTTCAAGATGACAAATGGGGTAATGTTTCTGTAGGCATCAATAGAAAAACATTAATTTAGGCATTATTTATGTATATATCTGAGTATCATTTGTTTATATCCGCTGTGTATTCTGAGCTATCGGTTTTTTTAGAGATTATACATAGTAAGAGTAAACAATTACCAGTACGAAATATCTTAAATTTTGGTTCTGGACTTTGTTTCGGCAATATCATCGCAAATTTTATTGCTCTTCGAGTCCAAAATAATAATGCACTACTGAAGCTACCCAGTCACTGTAGTGTGTCATACATGTTTGCACGAGAGCGTACGGATGATGCGTACGCAATACGAGTACAGCTTTTACAATAAAGTTTCGCTGTTGGGTAGAGTGCGTATTAGTTCAAACAGTGTCTTGAAGAAAATTACTGGTAAAATGGACTGTCCTATCCTAAAATATTGGGTTGGATAGGTTATCAATGCAGGAGTGACACAACCGCTCATTTACTAACATAGGTTAAGTAAATTTATAATTAACAAAACGAACCTTATGTTGTCTGACTAAATAAGTACTATTATTATTATTTTAATTATTTATTCATAGGAAAACCAGGGTTACACTACAGCAAATAGATACAGTTTTAGGATAACAAAATAAGCCACTAATAGGTTTTCAGAAGTAGCAACAATATAGATACAAGGCGCTGTACACATAGCTACAAAAATACGAGATAACAAAAAAAAAAGAAGTGAACAAACAAGAGGAATAAAAACAAAAAGAAAAAAAAAAAATTATGATAAGTAAAATACAAATTAAAGATTCAATGTAAATATTTGACCAAAATATGGCCTTTTTATCCATACAATTGTAATTAAAACTGACTATGGATAAAAAATTGCTTACTCAGTTGGTTTCTCACTGATATTATATTTTTTGAAAATCGATCGATATTAAGAGTTCTAGAAAGAGTATTAAAGTTGTTGCTAGCTCGCCAAAGGAACGAATTTTGTCTATAATTCGATGACATTAGTGAGACAAATAGAGTAGAATTATGCCTTCTAGACTTAATTGGTACATTTAGTTTTAATTTTTGTAGTAGTTCAGGGCAATCAACCTCAGCGGAAGCTATCCTCATCAGATATGCAATGTCAGCAATATTTCTGCGCTTTTCGAGTGGGAGAAAGAACATTAAATTATACAATATAATTATAATAAACTGTAGGAGCTGTTATTTTTTATATGTAAAGTAATCATCTAGTACAAATCAAGACTAAAACTTTATTTTGTAATTTAGGTTGCATCGGATCGAGGGCATCTGGTCTTTGAAAGATATGACGATGAAATTACAAGTTACGGGTACATATCACCTTAGTCCTAGGAATAGATAAACGTGTAATGGATAACATAGATTCTACTCGATAATCTGTGATGCCTATTAGTGACGGTCACTACTTTTCACCAGGTGGTTCTTGTTTACCATTTCAAGTTATATAAAATAGAAGAATATCAAGAATTTTTAAAAAGAGTAATTTCATTTTTTTTACTACTAGTATGTGAGCATACATTAAGTATTACGCACATGACATTCATTACCATCTTAATAACATTATCATTAAATGCCAGTCGAAGCTTAACATACTATAAGGGCAATTATTCACGCACACACATACGTAATACGTCGTGAAACGAAAGATTTCTCACGTTTAGTTCAAATGGAAACTTACTGGAGTCATTATTAGTTTCTCTTGCTATCTGTGTCACTCGTAAAAACGTAAACAAATGTAAATATCTAAACAAGTAATATATAAGTATAATTTTTAAGCGATTTAAGAAAGGTTATAATTCGTCTCTTTTTATAAGTATGTCGTTTGATATCTTCTTTAATTCAGAACCAATATTTAGAATTTTTATATGATGAAGGTTATTTCAACACATTCATAATATTTCCATTAAAACATAAGTAATAATCTTTATTTAAATAAATTAGTTTGCAGTTCGTTGCACACAGCTAGAATTCCATTTGTCAAAGAAATTTATGTATAAAATAATTTATATTTGTATGGATACAAATGTTGCTGTGTGGTTTCGGCATAGAATGAGCCACCGCTTCCTTTCTCGTATGTGTTGTAAGAGGTGACTAAGGGAACATGATGTGAGAGGGATGAGAAGCAGCGTTTCTTTTAAAAGATCACCAAAGCCTAATTGCGGTTGCCAACCCGCCTGCCGAGCGTAACAACTACTGGCAAAATCTTACAAATCTTATATTCAGCAGTGGACACGGCTGATATGGTGATGATGATGAATTACTCTAATTATATATATAAATATCTCTTAATAAAGTCAATAATTAGTCATAAGTAGTAGATACAAGTAGACCAGTCTTTCACATTCGAATGTAATCTAACATTCTAATCAACGGGGCTACCATGAATGATAATTATGTGGAACTCCTTATCGAAATTTCGTGCAATTCGTACTATGAAACATTTTCATTCCGAAATCGGACTTGAAGTGGAGGAATAATTACGTTTATTTCGTTATAAATGAAACCATGTAGCATCCGAATGAATGTAATTGTAGCATTGTACAGCAGGATTTTAATTTTAAATTAAACAAAAGCTCAAAAGATAACTTTTTATTTTCGCATGTATGAATTTTGGAGTGAAACGTTAAAAATGTAATTAATAAGTGTTTAAAACTGTTTATTGTTTTGAGATAATATGTCTTTTCTTTGTCTAATTATATGTGTATTTAATTTATTTTTCCTCTCATGTAAATAAATTGCAGTGTCAAATAGATATTTTTTGTTTCTATTATGAAATAGTCTTATGTCACGAATGAAATAGTCACGATTCTAAAGGTTTCTAAAACCTTTACACAAGTAGGTAAATAGTATGAAACATTTTAACAAATAGGCGTTTGTTAATAATCTCCTATATAGGTAGTTATTGTTTATTTTGCAACGAGCATAATACATTTATGAAAACCTATTATATAATCTTAAAGGAAATATTTTTAAAATTAAAATATATTGGTATATATTTGATTCCCTTTTAGGGGTGAAATGGGAGATGAAAATTTGTATAGGAATTGTGAGATTTTTGAAGTTAGAATTAAGAAAGTTTGTTTATAGGTTTTATTATAAACAAAAATTTTGTTTGTAAATTTAATTTCAAGAGTATTTCAATTCGATAATATAATTTAGACAAAATTTATGTATAAATGTGTTAATTTTAAGTTAGGAAGAGAAAGTTTTAAATTTAGTCTTTAAATAAATTGTTTTATTATATTTCAAAATACTGTTCTCGTAAATAGGTAAAGTCTTATTATTATAACAAATGTAATTATTATAAATTTTATTTCATACATTCGCTGCTGAACCAGTAATAAATATGAATACATTACAAGTAATTTAATTCTTGACTCGATTTGAGAAAAATCAATTTCGATTTTATGTGTCGAGTACGTTTACTACGTACATATATGGCAAGTTTGGGATGGGGTAGCGGATGTGAAAAAGAGGGGCGCGGTGTCGAAGATAGCCTCTCACTAAAATGAAGGTTTGCAACATAATCGAACTCCATATGAAAAAGTCACGAGTAAGAGTTCAAATTTCTTACGGATGGAAAAGTATTTTTTACAAGAAATCGAATACCATATGCGAATGAAGCCATGGGCAAAAACTAGTATGAAATAACTGTTTAATAATAAATTTCGTTATTGTTAATTTTGTAGATAAATGTCATTCTGCCTTATTTTCAGTGTTTACTTTTCTATCTTTCACCTTCATAATAAATGAATTTAGATGTTATCTATTTACAGAAATACTGTAGATTAAGAACAGTATTTTAGAATCTATTATTTTTGTTATGACAGGCTCTATTATACATATAACTAATAAAAGAGCATAATTTTATAACATAATAATTAATACCGTAGTATAAAGAACTACTTTTTATACATTAGTTTCACAAAGAGATCTGGACAGGATAACTTATTATAAGTTTGTTAAATTTTATTTATTATTAAAATAGTGCAAAATGAAGTAATTATAATTTTTCACTATTTTGGACATTTTGGCCATAATATTTAATTTTATTTATAGTATTATGAGCATTTTTCACTTTATTTTAATTATCGGTTTTAATTAATATGGGTCGTTCATCAAAAATTTGGTATTTTTTTGGTTCTGACAAAAAGAATGGCTTATACTTTTAATTTTAGGGTAAGATTTGGACAATTTTATGGAAGTATGGCGAGCTTCGTCAAGTTATTGTATATTTATTTTTAACCAATTTCAATTGCATCAGATTAAAATCAACTGACTAAATTTACTTTTATCTTTCTATTATTATTATCTTATTGAAGAAGGAACTTGCCCAAATATGGTATTTTTTTAAAATTGGACTTAATTCTTTATATTGCTGTAACTGAACTCCATTTCGATTAAACTGAACCAAACTTAACCAAACTTGGTTCAACGTGATTCAAGTTTGGTCAAATTTGACTAAACTGGATGGAGATTAATTACTTTATTCGAGATTGGTATAGTTTGGCCAAGTTTGGTTCAATTTGGCCAAGTTTGATCATGTCGAGCCAAGTTTGGTCTAGTTTGGCTAAGTTTGATCTAGTTTGATCAAAATATAATTTAGTTAGTGAAGCAAAGAAATATAGTTAGTGAAGTCAATTAAAAAATAATGTACTTTTTAAATCCGCGTTATAAAATTATTCAGAAATATATACGATATTCATATAGAAAATCTAAAGATAGAAGTTAATTAGAAGTTGGTTAAAAATAAATGTGACAACTTTTGCAATCAAACTAACATGATAATCGAATTCTATGGGTCAGAATTCTATCTATAAGTTTATAAGCATATGACAAAAGTTCTTACATAATTTTTCATTCTTGAACGTACTTACTTATTTCAGATAGGATCCATAGAGGTTCCTATCCCAAATAAGTAAATTCGAAGGAATTTCATGGTCGTTTTACATTATTTATTTTAGTTGTGTTTCGGTAACGAAGTTCGGATTGACTGTTTCATGGTAGCTCCACTGATATGTAGGTTTCGTTGAGCGACTACGTCATTCTGCAACTTAATACTCACCAAACCAATTTATATTTATAACATTTTGCGTGCGTTTACGGTCAATATGCCCCCATATAAAGTAATATTTCATAACAAAAGAACAGTCTACAGGCGAACCGAAAATAAAGCATGAATGTGATGCTGACTATACTACCACAATACAATTTTGAATGTACATCAATGTTAATGACAAACACTACCATCTTATTCATGTATCCGTTTTGAATTATTTAATTATGTTGACAAATGCGTATGTATACTTTTGAGTATAAATGGGTAGGTAGTTATGACTTATCTATAAAAAATAATTAATACACCCTTACCTGAGCACCTAACTGTCTTAACTCCCGTTCCCTCGATGCTTGTAATGATTCTGTATATTCCGGTAAAATCTGTAGGTAAAAAGAATCAAATATATTTCAGTACTTTTTTATTTATATTTGTTTGCATGTCACAGAGTACAAAATAGTTACTACACTATAAAATATATCATACATCTTAATTATCAATAGAGACAAATATATATTTCTATAATATTTAATACTTGATAACATAATATTCTCAAAATTCTAACATATTCTTGATGACAGGCAGGCGGTTATTTTTAAACCCAAAAGCCAAAATCTTGTATAATATGAATAAAAACATATTACGCTGACTTCAAATAATTGGGATATGAAAAGGAATATGATAATGATGATAACGTAGTATTTGTTTTTTTTTTCTATATATAATATCAATTTAATTATAGATATTTTATTTCCTCTTATTAAATTAAATTTTATATAATTTTTTTTGTATAATTAGGTATGTTTTAGTTATTGTAATAGTTATAGTATATATACAATGTTGCATTGAAGAAAATTAAATAGCTTGTATTCTAAGATGCTTAAAAATACGTAAAATGTGTGTAATAAATTAAATTTATAACAATAATATATTTTTTAATGTTTAACTTTAATTATTTTATAACTTGCTAAGTAATTTTACCTTGTTCGGTATTTTAATATATTTATATTGGAATTATTATTTATTGGAGACTTAATTAACTATAGAGATTTTTTAATTGTAATATCTTTATTGAAGATACTTTACATTAGCACAATAAAAAGATTTATTATACGTATACAATGCGGACTTATCCCATAGAGGGATCTCATTATTATTTCAAAGAAATAAACTTCACTGTCAATTTAATAAACAATTCATGATATTTATTACTTAAAATATATGTTTTGTATTGATATTTAATTGTTAGGCACTTTACCTATATTACCATGGCTGATTAGGCGTTACTTCTTTGTTTTAGTATATATAGGTATCAGGGATATTAGGTGAATTAGTTAATTATCTATTGTTGTTATTAAATTACACAAGACAAATTATATTTACTTTTTTGATAATATAAATATTATAGTCTCATTGTTTGAATATATATCTGTATATTCGTAGAATTTTCCTATAATTTACTTGGTTTTAAGTTTTTTTACTATAAGTCTTACTGTGTGAATCGTGTATATTATTTTATATGTATACTGTTATCTTCCTTTTGTATATTTCTTCCAATATCTAACAACATTATTTATTTGACATACGATTATTTCTACAATAGATCTTCACAACACATTATCTGTGTGTGGTTTTTTTGTGCGTCCTTAATCCGAGTATTTGTAATATTTGTGATTGTACAGTCTATTCGGAATGCAATTTCAGCTGAGAAGAATGATAAAAAAATTTGTTGTTTTTTCAACAACAGATATTACAATTATAAATGTGTCAATACAGACTAACAAATAGTACAAGAGTTATTTCAATTATTAGTAAAATCAAAATCATTATAGTAAATGCTATATTGAATTATATTGAGATAGATGTCAGACTTAATTCGTGATATAGAACATATATATTCCATGTATGGGCATTTAAAACCACGCAGGTTTATTTTAAGAATCTTAAGTAATCATTTAGAATGCAACCAATATCGATGAATATGATAATAATGATATATTCTAGAGATGAAATTCAATGGAAATTATAATGATATGTTACTTGTATAACCTACGGAAGGTCAAATTGAACAAATATTTAGTTTTAGATTTAGGTACGTCTACAGACAAGAAAGAAAATAATATAAGAAATTAATATTTATATAGCTTGAATTGAAATACCTCAGACGGTTCTTCGCAGTCAATTTCCTCAGAGAGTCGTTGCCTTGCCGTCAGCGCTTGATGCCTGTTTCTCTCCAATCGTCCAAGAACAGAATTCAGAACTTTGTCGGGATTGGGAATTCGTAACACATGTTCTATGAAGTCCCGAGCTGTTTCCTCACTGGACCCAGGCGGAGACGACGCGAAACACAGCGAGATGCACAATGCCTGATTCATACATTGTTCAGTTAATATTATAATTATTTAGGTTAACGCAATTTTTAGAATACCGTATCCAAAGTCAAAGCGGAACTTTTATGATTTGATAATTGATATTTTGTCAGACTATCTGGCGTTAAGTCTGTCTGAATATCACAGTGACATTTTAGGTTACCATAACTTTTGCAATTTATCTAAATAACTATTTAACCCTACATAGTAATTTAGTATAGCAATCCAGGTGAATTTAAGTTTCTTATCTTATTCTCTCATAAATATACGAGGTCTGTCCGGAAAGTTCGTATAAAAGTGTTCTGGAATGCGAGAAAGAGGAGTGGGGAGGCCAGGTAAGCGCAGGACCCCTTCCTTATGTCCCTAACAATGCTTCAGTTCTGGTCTGACCGCCGTGCGGTGCGAACTGGCTTGTCACGCCATCTGTGAAGTTACCTCTTAACGAAACCCCGTCGGCATGGAGCCCGCTTCCGTTGAAGAGCAGCGCGTCGTAATCAAGTTTCTCTCGAAACTCGGCAAGAATGGCCGTGAAATTTTTGCCGATCTCAGAACAGTTTATGGGGATGATGCTGTGAAGGAACCAACCGTCCACAAGTGGCTAAAAAGATTCAGAGAGGGCCGAGAAAGCGTTCAAGATGACCCACGTTCAGGACGTCCTTCCACTTCACATTCCGACGAAAACGTGGAAAGAATTCGAACTTGTGTTAATGGGGACCGTCGTTTAACGGTCAGACAGGTGGCTGAAGAGCTTAATTTGGGCAAAACCGTGGTCCACGAAATTCTAAGAAACGAACTTCAAATGAAAAAAAATTGCGCCAAGATCGTTCCGTGAGTTTTTGAGTAAAAATTCCATTACGGTGACCGAACACCCCCCTATTCGCCGGATTTGGCCCCGTGTGACTTCTTCTTGTTCCCAAAAACCAAATTGGTACTTCGGGGGCGGCATTTGGGGGACATAAATGAGATAAAAAAAGCTACGACGGGGCAGCTGAGAAACCTACAACCAGAGGACTTTCAAGGAGCCTTCTCACAGTGGAAACGGCGTTGGCACAAGTGCATTATGTCACAGGGGGAGTACTTTGAAGGGGATAAAATTGATTTACCTGAATAATTGTAAAATAAAATTTTTAAAAAACTTTTATACGTACTTTCCGGACAAACCTCGTATACATACGCATAATTATAAGTCAAGTGCAGAAAACAATAATATTTTTCATTTATAACTTTAAAAATTGCAATTATTATTGTCGAATAAAGGACAATGGTGATTGTATGACAAGAATTGTTTATTAGGTAAACATTTAAAAATATTACGACAATAATATTATGATATTATTCTATTTTAATGTTTATCAAACACAAGGCATGCTGTAAATAAATAAATATGTACATGAAATATATTAGTATTTTATCTAAATACCCAATGACGAAATAATTTTAATTCTAATGCAGAACGTTAGTTAAAGAACGGAAGAATATCATATTTTAATTAATCTTTCAATATCAGTTTTTATATGACATCGTCTGCGTTATTTATGTAAAAGTACCTTGTATCTATCTTCCTCATAAACACTACGTGAGAGTTACATTTCATGACGGTCGGTTTGAGTCGTTAACGTGTCAATAGATAAGAAACATACAAACTCAATAGTAAAGTAACTCATACATAATACCCAGAGTAGTACAAACACACGTATACACCTTCAAGAATATAATTGTATCTACATATGTAGATATCGCTGTGTGGTCCTGGCCGCCGTGTGGTCCCGACTTAGAATAGGGTACCTCCTCCTTTCCGTGCGTGTTGTAAGAGGCGACTAAGGAAGGACAAGGGATGGGCAGCAGCGTCCCTCTTAAAACATCGCTAAGGCCTAACTGCGGTTGCTAATCCGTCTGCCAAGCGTGGCAACTATTGGCAGTCCCCTCTACCTCCAAAAGGGAGGCTTTATATTCAGCAGTAGACAGTGGAAGGCTGATATGATGATGATGTATAATGCGGGGATTAAACTCATGACCATCAAAAATTGAGATAGTACATTTAATGGCTGCACAAATAATTTCAAAACACTAATGGCGTTTCTGTTTTAATACGTACGCTTAGTTATTGGAAATGGCATAAAAACACTTAATCGATTTTGAAAATTCTTTCAGTTATCGTAAGTTACATTCCCAATGTGTAAAATGAGCTGTATTCTATTTTAGGTATTTCTACTATAATTGCAACTATTTACTCCTGCATATTTGGAGCGGCCCGCTGGTACGTAATAATTCTACAGTAGATTAATTAAAATATTGGGAAAATAAGGCAGAAAAATAAAAATGCTACAAGCCTGAAACTTGGTACAGTTATCTATTGAGTAACAATGATTTTGTAAAACAGAGTACATCTCTGTACTATGAGTAAAAGGGGGTTTAGAGTTTTAAAAATAAAAACTCTGTTGTTATTAAATTATTTTATAATCATACAACGTGTTAAAAAACATTAAAAAGGAAAGTTGTATGTGAAATAATTCTGCGCATTTTGGTATATTTTTATACATCATATCTTCATCATATCAGCCTTTAACTGTCCACTGCTGAACATAAGCCTGCCTCTTGGGAGTTTTGCCAATAGTTTGGCCACCGCAGTTAGGCTTTGGATTAGATGTTTTAAGAGGGACGCTGCTGTCTTTACCATAAGCTCCCTTAGTCGCCTCTTATGACACTCACGGGAAAGGAAGAGATGGCCCATTCTATGCCGGGACCGATAGACTAAAAGATAGACTAAAAAGACGAACATATTCTATATTTAGAGATATCTTCATTTCTGTAGTATAAAAGAAAACTTTGTAGTATAAAAGAAAATATGATTTTTCTTTTCCAGTCAAGTCAATGTTTCACCTGCATTTTATATAGTGCAGCTTAAATGTAGCGTAAGAATATTTTATCTTGAAATTATCATATCTTAGTGAATTTTTCACCGAAGAATCTTTCACAGAAGTAGAAACAAATACTAAAATATACAAAATTATTTCAGATATATTGTTTTTAAATATTTTTTAAATTATTTAGTAGTTTTTATGCAATTATATACAAAAAAAATATTTTCTTTTTTTTTGCAACTTCTAATGGTAATAAATATCCTAATAACCAGTGGTCGCCCAGTAGTCTAAATTCGACCATAATCTAAATTATAAGTTTGAAGATTATTAAGATTCTATTGTCAAAGACTATATACTATATACATATAATTTGTTTGAGATTCAGTATGACTATAGGCAAATAATATTAAAGACAAACAATATTAATCTATTATCAATTTGACCGATTTTAAGAATTAACAAAAGAGTATATATGCGTGTGTATATCTAATACATGGTAGTGTGAATAATGTTCTCTTTTTATTGATTGAATGTATTTTTTATACATAACTTAAAAACATTATTTGCTAATATCTTTTTTAATTATGCATAAAAATACAGAATGCTTTCTGCACTCCTTTTCTATATAAACTATACCTATTATCGAAATTTCATACTCCTCCGTCCGCACAATTTTCGTAAATATACAACAATAACTTACAAAGGGTTATAAAGTTTTTGCTTTATGTATTAATATATAGATAATATCCTTTTGACTCAATTTTACAAGGCGGTCTCTTTTTGTTTACAAAAAAAAGATCTTAATCTAATGAATAACTATGCCATGTATGATAAAATTGTAGCAATATTTTTTATTTTTATGTTATTTGTTCTGTGATATAGATACTAGGATTTAGTGTGATTCACCTTGGCATGAGCATCCACCAAATGGAGTGAGCTCAAATATATTGCAGGAAATTAGTAGATGCAGGTAGCTCGGGACCGACCCCTATGGCAGTCTATGTGGGAGGTATTCAGCAGCAGCATACATAACGGCAGCATATTTTTTAGTGTATTACACTAGTTATACGTTTCTTTGCCAATGCTGAACTGACTTACATTATTTTTTTATATTTTATATAAATTTATATTACCTTTTATAAAAATAATGTAAGTCAGTTTTTGTAACGACATTGTCGCGTTATCAGGATGTGTTCATGGACTGGAATAATAAGTAGCCTATATCCATCTCTATACCATGTAGTACGTGTATACCACATTTCTTAATTATTGGGTAAAATGTTGAAGCATTATGAGGTAACAAACAAACTTACTATCACACTTATAATATTAGTAAGGATTCCCATAGGGTTTACAGCTATATTGGTCTTAATTAATTGTTCCAATTTAATTTGTAGTTATTTTGCGAAGAAAAAAATTAATATATTCTAATTTAATGCAGTTGGCATTCATAATTTTTTTTTATTTGTTTGCTTAATAAATTTATTACTTGTTATTTTTTTAGTTTATGTCCTGTATATATATTATCTTAGTTTAAATCCTACTTTAGATATGCTAGGAATAAAACGAGCAAAACTCAATTGATGTTAACGAACTGTGATTGGCAATGCTTGCGGTCGCATCTGTGCCCCGTGAGTACACTCATTCACGTTAGTTGCAACAATAACCAGCTGGTATACACACTTCCTTGTATGAAAAAAAAAATTGTAAACAAATTGAATGGTAAAAAGTGGTTTAGTAATAATAAAAAAAAGTGGTTCACTAATTGAGATGTCGTCAAATTTGACCGACCTGATACCATTCGTCATGAAGGGGTAAGTAATATTTTATTTTATAACGTTGACGAAATTTGAATATATGATTATAATGATTCTTATTTAGTTTAAAATATAGACTATAATAATTTAACCGTTTAAATCTATATACAACGTTGTCATTCGCTAGATAAATAATAATAATTTTTCATAAGTTTCTTTGAAATTTATGTTGATGTAAAGATTTTAACTGACTGACTAATCAACACAGAACCGAAACTGCTGAGTTTTTCAATGTTTATACTGCATAGATGTTCATTTGAAAAATTATTTGTATAAAGTTAGTAGAGTAACACTAAAATAGATTACAGAAATAATAAACTTTAGAATTTAGCAATATCATATTATCCATTTGGACGAGCTCAAATTAATATCTGAAGATCATAATAAATACAGATTAATATAATACTATATTAATAAATAAATCAAAATTAAATTTTACTAAATATAAAAATAAAAATAAATCGCGGAATGTAAGCATAATTTCAGAACGGGTGCACCTATTTAGCTAATTCTTTTTTTGCATTTACATATAATTATCTGGATAAAATTTATATGAAAAAAAAGAAGTTTAGAAAATTTGTATGGAAAACTGAAAAAAATTGAGGTTAAAATTTCCAAAAAAAATTGAGTATGTGAGACAGACGATATCAATCAATCAATTATTTATTTGCATAAACATAGGTATTTAGTTACCTGATACTGCACAAAAAAATATGTTTATTTAGTGCAATCATGTTTAATAATTAAATATATAAATATATTTATTTATTAAAAGTACATATAATTATTACAGTTAAACAATCATCATCTTCCTGCCTTTATCACAATTATTATTTGGGGTCGGCGTAATATGTTTTTATCCATATTACAAAGAGATTTAGCTTTTAGTTTCACGACCGGTCGCCTGCCTGACGTCAACCCTCTATGGTAAATAATAATAAGTAATTACTATAATAAAAAAAATGCGTAAAAAAATGACGAGAAAGAAATACAATGCGAAAATTAGTAATATAAATATAACATACATATATATTAATATGAATAGATACCTGAAATACACTATACTTAAAAAAATATAAATATATATACTAGTATAAACACATACATACATATCTGTCATGCCTGTCTCCCATTAAGGTAGGCAGAAAGAAAAGTATAAATTTTAAAATAAATTTGCCGTTATTGAGCATAAAAATATTATAAAATCCCTCACTAAAACTTTAAATCCAATATTAAATTCAATTTAATTTAAGACAACTTTAACAATTAAACATTTACTGTAAAAATTAAACAATTAAATAATTATACTCGTAGTCACGGAAAGTTAAAAAAATATTTATCGAGTATAATAAAAATTCATAAAATAGAAATTACATTCAATCTTCAATTCATGTCAAGGAATAAAAATTATAATAAGATAATACCAGTATAAAAGTAATGACAATAATACCGGAACATATCAGTTATGTAGTAGTTTACGTTAGGTTTCAAATCTCTTTCCAATAATAGGGACATCTTAAAAAATATTAACAGAATTCAAAAACAAGGGAAAGTGCAGTTTCATTTTCATCATTCGTGCAAAACCGGCGTGCTGGCAATTAGTTAATAATAAATATTTTATATCTATCTTTATGCCAAGTCTCTTGCAGTGTAGGCACAGAAAACCGAGTGCGAAAGACCTTTACATACGAGTACATCTCTTGAATCTTGTACCTTCATAACTCGTCTCATACATGACTTATCTGATCATAATGGATTAGTTTAGGTCTTTACAATATATCTATCTATATACACACATAAAAAAGTCTAAGCAACACATACAAATTTCAATTTTACAATGTGTTTTCGCATTAAATCCTTAGTATTTTCTTATTTATATTATTTTTTAATGATTTTTTATAACATATTAATTATAGCATAACAATTGGTTTTTTTATTTATTTTTTAATTATCTTAATTAACAATAATTACGAGTAAGTACTGTATGTACGTAGTACAAAGTAAGGTGCCTAATCAACTAAACTTGAACTAAAATTAAATGGTTGTACAAAAATTGTATAAATTAATACAAAGTGTGGCCTCCTCTCTTATGAAGAACTTGCTAGCACCGATTATTCATAGAATCGATGAGACTGTTAATGTTATCCTGCGGCAATTGCTCCCAATGAAATTTTAGTAAGTCCATCAGTTGTTATGTGGTTGTCACTCCATCCAAGTTCTTTAAAACACGTCTCTGGAGCATGTCCCATGCATGCTCGATGGGCACCTAATTGGTCGTCGTGCTCGTAGGCCATACTCACGCAGTCAATTTCGCACACTTTGGCAGCTTACAACAACATCACTTGAATTTTGTAGCCTTAAACCTATCTCTCGGGCGGTTAACATCGGCTGGCATCTTGCAGTCAGTTGTATGTATCAATCTTGCCGTGTGGTTGTACACCTTCCTCGACCTGGGTGCTGTTCAGCAGGATCTCTCGTGTTAGTGTAACTCTGACGAGGACGGCAAATAACGCTTCTGTTGACACCAGAATACCGAGATACCTGAGATTAACTTTTTCCCGCTTGCAACATCCCTACAGCTCTTTGCATTTCATTTGTGTTCAAATGACGTCGCTCCATGACGTAAAAAATGTCTCAAAATCCAAATTAGTTCAAAACTTTTTTTCAAATTATTGTTTATATCATAAAATTGATACAGAATATTAAATTTTAATAAACAAAGAAAACGCTTTAAAATTCGGACAAATGCATTTGCTTTAGAATTTGTGAAAAAAAAACAAATGATTCTCGATTTTTTTTACAACCAGCCAATATGTCCTCTAGATAAAAAAAAGCTTACATAGGTATTACCTATTTAGTAAGAAATAATATAATAATTGATTAATAATTTGAAATAGTATGTGTTGCTTAGACTTTTTTGATGTGTATATTTTAAGTAAAACCACTCACGCTGACGATAACTTCTCCTACGTATATAGGTGAAATTTTCTTAAATTTAATTTTGAGGTATGTTATTTTAATACCTATTGCTAATTATTTTGAACGTGGAATTTCAATCGTGTTGAACTTATACGAATGTTTACTAAATAGATGGACAATGATTTGTAAGGTACTTTTTAACACACATACGAACAAAAGTATCTATAAAGTATATAGAACAATATTAAACACATAGATATACCGTTTCATATGTGTTATTTTCGTCGCGTCCATATCCTGTGAGATCAACACCTCGCCACGTCATAATGTAAGCGACAATCTGAATTGCCTCCTTAATTATGTTTATTTCGATATTGTATACGTTCTTAGTATGTAGTTCATAGGTTTCATTTGTAAATAAAACCGGTCAGGTATGTATTGCACTCATACCCTGAAGGTTCTGTACGACACATACGTATATATATATATATATATATATATGACATAAAATGACCCTTATTGCATTTATTATACGAAATATATCTATTTAGTAGGTAGGTACCTTACTAATTATTATTACTGATACCATAATTCGTATTTTTTTGGGCTGTAATTGCGGTTAAAAACTGGACCGCATAACCCCAAGTTAGTTTTAGAAGGTTTTTATAATTTCTCAAAAAACGGCACTAATAAGAAACTTGTGTTTTATTTTTCCTGTATTTTTTACAGTATATACCTTTATATACAGTAATTATTTTATATTTTTTCGCTTTAGAAACTTCAGAGATAAACTCCCCATTTATCGTTAAAGTTTCTATGGTATTATTTTTGCATTTTCGATTTAACTAAAAAATCTTTACAAAATAAAAATAAATTAATATCAATTTTAAAGTGTACAATTGAAACTCTTTCATACGATATCCGATGTGAACTAGTAGGTAAATTTGAAATTTTGAGTATCTATTTTTGTCTCCCTTAAAAAGTCAGTAAAAATATTTATTTGATTATTTTCAATAGAGTAAGTGCTGGTTAATGATTGATATGCAAAATTATGCTAAATTTAAAAATCGCACCATAAGAGTCCCTTTGTACCCTTTTGGTATGGGACCCTAAAAAAAGACGAAAAGTAGTCTTTCCCTAACAGACTCACTTTCACATTTGTGGTATTTATAAGGATTATAAAGGTTTACTCTAACAACAAACGATTAACAACACATTTTAAACTAGGCTATATTAGATATTAAAAGAAATTAAATATTGTAAGAGTATCCTTAAACGATGGAAAGTGAAAAATTAAGATTGAAAAACAATTATACCTACAGTAGTTATAATTGACTCAAACCTATCGCATTGGCTGCAACTCTAGTTATATTCTCAAGTGATGTATTACGTTATTTAAAGAAGTATTTGGAGAAACAAATTATGGTATATACTAAGGTACGTGCCACATAGCCGTAATCCAATACATCAAAACATGGCTTGTGTTTTGGTGTTAGTGTTAAGAATAGACTGTGCGTGTGCTTTTTGTCGAAAACATTACAGAACTGCGAATGTTTAATGTACTTTAAGTGTTAAGTTTCATTTATTATTAAGCACCTTATGTGCAATTCGCCCATTTGTATCAACGTTTTATAAAATAATAAACATTAGAAAAGCTTTTTATCTACCTAATAAACATAGTAGATTATTAGTATTAAATAGGAAAGCTACTCTAATTAGCTATAGTTAAGTTCGGAATATACAATAGAACTAGACGCAAACAATAATTTAAAATTCGAACCGACTTCAATTACGGCATAACAAGTTATTTTTATTTAAAAACTATCCTACTGGATGGATTTTGATAAAAAAAAATTATGGAACCAATCTTTAAGTATATCTTTTTAGATAAAAAAAAAGAATATTCCAAATTGATTTATAACTGACGCAGTTACTAACAAAAAATACACCCGATTTAAGAACCTCCTTCTTTTTGAAGTCGGTTGAAAAAAGTTATGTCTTTGTACGAATGTTCTCACAAAATGAGTTACATTATTACTAAATTTGATTGCCACATACATCGAAACTTTACAAAATATCTTTAATTGAGTTTGAGCCTTCTTGTCAATCATTGTCCATTCATAGAATCGGACTCTTGTAACTGTTACTTTCATTTAATAAATTGTTGACACGAATTACTAATGTGTCGGTTTATATAATTTATCGCTTCCATTCAGCATTTAATAATTAATATAAAGAAAAACTTAGTGCTTTTTTGGAAAGATAATTTAAAACTACATATAAATTAATATTTACCTTATAAATATGAATGTGAGTTTTTTTTTTGTTATTTCTTAACGACTTGACCAATTCTCATAAAGTTAATTTATACGCACTAATATGATGGAAAAGAAAATAGGTTTGTTATTTATTTTGTGATTTATTATCCATCTTATTAGTACGTCCCGGGCAATTAGTATATTATCTTGTTCACGCGGTTGCAGTAGTGAGTAAAAGTTTGTATGTTTGTAAGTGGGTAAAAGAACTATTTGAAAGATATTCGTATCGTTATCCAAAAACATAAAATTTACTTTAAGTTTTATCAAATACTAACTGTTGTCCGCGGTTTAGTTCGCATATAAGAATAAAGGATAAATAGTTGTATGGAAGCTTGTGACTTTCAAAGTAAGAAGTATATTACGGCGTTTGTATGTTTCTTTGTACACTTTTGTATATATTTTTTATCATCATTAATCCACTAATGTTTTATTTAAAGTGTTTTTTTTTTTTTTAAAGAAAACACTAGTGTTTTATTTAAAGAAAACATATTACTTCCATCTGCAAAGGGAATGATTATGACACATTTTGTATTTCATTATTTGCACCTATATACTATATTTAAAAACAAAAATAATATGTTACATCTGTTTTTAGTTGAGGGGTGCTTGTTTTAGAAAACTTTGAAATACATATATATAAATCCAACAAAAAAATACAAATAGTAATTTCGAGTAAGTCAGACCATTTTTTTCGTCATTTTTCGTTATTTATATATTATTAAATTTCATCTTTCTTATTTAAAAAATGTTAAATTTTTCGCTTAAAATTTTAATTCCTATTTTATATACGTATATAAAATAGGAATTATATACGTATACTGCATGTCTCTTGTTGAAGTTGAATTTCCAAAAACGAGGAAATACGTATACTAATATTAATTTATTTTTACTGAGAAACTTTTAAATCCATAACGCATTTATTTATTTCTAACCGGAAGTTTGTTTACAAAATTGCATACTTATAACATAGAAAAAGATGGGTTTATACAAACGTTCATACTTTTACCCTTTTAGGAACGGAATTCCTAAAAATCCTTCTTTAGTGGATGTATTAACTATAAAATGCATCATTTGCTATATATTATAATAATCTATTTGCTTTATTTATATAAATAAGTCGCAAATTGCACATCGAACGTAATAGCAATTGAAATACACCATATTAAAATAATTACACAGAAATCGAGGAGGGATGGAAGTAAGAAGAAAACAACGGAAGACTTTCAATATGGAACCAGTTCCTGAAAAGAATAACTTTGCAGGTTGCTTTGTTGATAACAGGTGAGTATAAAGATTCTAGTACAATCCAGAATATCTGAATCAAGTATCTTCAAACACATGAGTGACTTTACCTTAGGAGATATGTTAAATAATTTATCAAATTTGATTTACATGTTCAATTAAATAATAAATTTCATGTAATAAATTACTAGTTCATCCTAAAATCATCACATTGACATATTCTGTTAATGACATATTCTGAGGAAAATGAAAGCTAAATTACATTTAAAGCAATTAGTCAGAAACCTTTTTAATGTTACATTTCCGACTTTATCTTTCAATAGAAAAGTACTACTATAGTTTATTTATTCAAAGGAACACCAACAGCATATTGCATTATAACACATATAACAAACATTATATATAATAAAATATTAATGCACATGTCTATTAAAGGTATTCTATATTATCTGCATTGTAGTATCGAAGAATATATTTCAAGTGGGGAGGGGGCGAGGGAGGGGGCTGGTCCCTAAAAAAAGCGCGTATGTATATAATTTCAGATATGTTACTGCAAAGTTTAACTCGCTTCAAGGGGTAGGACCAAACAATTCTGGAATGGACATGACTCACCCGACCTCGCTTAAATACGTCTACGTTCTCTAATCGGAATCACAGTCTAGTAATAGCATTTATGGACTTTTATTTGTTATGATTCTTATATGAGCATGCCAATTAACATACATGAATAATAGTATCTAGAAATTAAGAAATTTCGATATTTACAAAAATTATAATGCAGCGAAACGCATTCAAAATCTTTTTATAATAATTATGCTATCAAGGATTTTTAAACGTCAAAGAAAAAATAATAATATTATTTTGTCAAATAGTCAAAATCATTCATCACATATGCAAATGAGTCTTATGTTCAATTCATTTTTCTCGTATATATTTTCGTTGATTTTACCAAAATATACACCATTGGGTTTGGATATAAATATTATGGTAAGTACCTATTTGTGTTTATTTTTCTGGCAATATTATTAGACATGTCAATATTTTTGTCCTTGTACCTACCAATAATCATTATTAATTTAAATATAATAATGAAAAATATCTTTGGAAATGTCAGTAATGCCACTAGCACATGGACAAGGTTCTAAAGTGTTTACATACGTGCACGTGACATAAGAGAAGGCATAATTAAGCTTCGTATATATAAATAAATTGTGTATAAATCAATAATCATAATTAAATATTATAGCAAATTTGCATATAAAATAGATTATTTATTTATTATTATTGATTCAATGTGACTTACCTTAAGAATAAGATATCTTATGAACATTCTGGAGCCTGGAATAACTGTTCCCCAAATATATTACTATCTAAAAACAGACCAATCTGGCACGTCTGTTTTTGTGAATGATACTCTAAGTGGGAAAAACTCCTTTTATATTGCAACTTATCTCAATCCGTTACAATTATTGTTAATATTCTAATAGAACTGTACAAGTTAATCTCTTTCATTTGTATATTATGGAATGTCTTTTTGGTTAAAATATTATTTACTTAAATTTTGTATTACGATATATTTGAATAAAAATTATAAATGTCTATTGTAATAGGATTGGAATTCTAGATAAAATACATGATTACATTGTTATTACATATAATAGATAACTGATTAAAACTTAAAATGCTTAATGAATTGTTTTTGGAAACACGCCCCACCTTTTGTTTTTGAATTCTAATTTTGATAATCAGTTGTCAGTTTAGAGACGCTTATGACAGAACGAGTGATACGTATGCGTTACGTTTTGTGTTGAAAGGATTTATATATATTTTATAATAGAAGATAATGGAATATGAATCCCGCCTGCGCTAGTAAGAAAAAATAGGAGAAAGTTGGTGAGTTATGAAAGCAGGAATGCTTTTATCATCTTCATAACTTTATTGCCACAAAGTCATGAAGAATTAATAACGTTGATTTTCAGAGAATTCGCATGGAGGTCGACTTGATAGAGTATATTTCTAGTAATGGGGTCGCTAGTCCTAATTCTGATATTAATTTTTTTCCTAAAATATGTATATCTAAAGTTAAATATTATTTTGTTAGGTTCTCACTTAAGAAATAAAATTGACTAAGAAAAATATCTATTATTTTGCACCATATAACGCATAGAGAGGGGATAGTTTGATAAGGACTATGGAACTATAAATATGGAACAGTTGGCCGCCACTAGTAAATTATTGTATAAGCTTGTATGTACTGAAAAGGTATGGTACTAAAAAAGTAATTAAAAAGGTTATAAATAGATAAAATTAGGACTTAAGAGGCATTCCATGGTAATATCTTATATTTGAGTTTTATGGAGAATTATTACATCATACATATTCCCTATGTATTTAGTTGGTAACTGTAGGTACTTAAGAAAAGTTATTTCACTAACGTATTCATAGCTATATAACATATATACGAGTACATGCGGAATAAATGATAAATCAGCAGGTCTACCATTAAATGAAATTCCGAAATTTCGGACTCAATTTTGTGTTTTTGTTTATACCAAAATCGGACCAATAAATGGAGTTTAACATTTCGTTCGTCATACATCCTATCATAAAAGTCCAAAGGAACAATATTTTAACATTTTTAATATTTCCAAACGGCATGTATTATGTAATTTTAACATCAAATTTCTGTTTCGTTTGGCTTCAAAATTTCGGAAAACATTTCATGGTAGGCCCTCAGATCTTTTAAGTGTAATAAAGTAAAATAAATAATGAAATGGTAAATAAATTAACATCATAAAACTTACATTATTCTTATTTATATGATTATAATTTTCTTTTATGTTAACTTCTGTAACGGAAAAGTATAGTAATTTTTCTGTGATCCAAAAAGCACGATAAATATCTTGGTTGGCTTATCTACTTTATGCTAGCGCGCACAAAAATTCAATTTCTATATTGCTGGACAATTTTAACAACAGTCAGATAATCGCGGTGTTATCTCTCGTCGGCACTTTTTCTGATTGTTCTCGTTAATATTACAATGAAATGACAAATGCTAAAAAGTAAATAACTGGCGTGACGTAATTTATAAATATCCACCCACCCACTTGCTATAAGGATACTCAATTATTATTTTTTTCGAAATGAAATTTTATTTTTTTTATAATTAAGTTATAATTCTTCATCAAAAGAACCTTTTTAAGTAACGAGGAGGATTAAAAGCAGAATGTTCTCAGTTTTCAATTCCATTAATTAATTTCGTATAGTTGTAATTAACAAAAAGTTCTTCGCTTAATCTTTGTATTCTGTTTATCTGATCCACATATTAGCAATTAATTTGAATTATCCTCATTTCCTTATTTATTATAATGCGAAGTAAGTTGGTTTGTTAATTAGGTTTTCTTATAATACCTCAAAGGCTTAACAAATTACTACGTGAACTTTATATAATTTTTTGGTGTAACGTAGCATGGATATATATAGGCTTTTTATTCCGTCAGTAAATATATCCTGCTCACGTGGATAGTTCATAACAAATGCTACCTATAATTTGAGGATGGAAAATTAAATTTATTGTAGCGGTAATGCGTAAAATTTTTCTTAAGAATCTTAATTACATTTTTCGGTGCAGTATATGCATTAGTGACTTCTATGTGATAACTCTACCTAGTATTATATACAGTCGCTTTCCAGCGTTTGTAAGCGCTTAGATCTTTTGAAATAATGCAAAAAGATTTTAATGCGATTTTCATCAGTAGATAGAGTAATTTAACAGGAAGGTTTACACTTATAGTTTAATACTGTTCTGTATTAATTTTGTTCAATTATGATGATATTGTTCAAAATGTCTAAAGAAATCAAGTCGACTGACAGCTGATTGTTTTATTTCTCTTTTATAGGTCCACGATAGACTATATATATATATATATATATATATATATATATATATATATATATATATATATATACTATCATGTCACAAATTTGTTATTATTTGTATCTGAGTTATTGAGGTATGTGACGATAACTATATACCTAAACACGTCAATAGCATAAAGACAATACATAAAACGGTCACATTTTATAACTCTACTACTTAGATTATATAAATAGATCATCGAGTATAAAAAACCTGTTAAAATTGAGTCAATTTAACGTTTAAGCTAACAAATATTTTCAAAACAAAATAAAACGCGTTTTTAGTGTTGCTCCTAGATAAAATCGATTTTTGAAATTTGTATTTGTATAATTTGTTTCTGATATAAGTATATTAATTGATTATAAATTAATAATCACATATTAATTAAAATGGTGACCAGATTTAAAATCGAAAATATATTTTATGTCTATCATCATCAGTCGGTCTACTGCTGAACATAGGTCTTTTCGTTAAGGAGTTTTGCCAGTAGTTACCATGCTTGACAGTCGGGTTGGCAACTGCAGCTAAGCTTTAGTAATGTTTTAAGAGGGACGTTACTGCCCATCCCTCAACTATCAAGTTTTCTTAGTCGCCTCTTACGACACCCACGGGAAAGGAAAGAGATTGTTGCCGTACGTGGCACCTTTTTATTTTATGTCTATACTTAGATACATTCAAGTAATATTATGGACTGTTTATCTTATTTTTTCAAATATATTCATAAGAATTTTGTATCATTTTTATTTTTCAATTTCAGTTATTAGTATTAACTGTATATACTAGTAACCCGATTTATGAACACATATGTAAAAAAGTTAACCTGTTTTTGGGAAAGCTTTTAAATGAACGCTCTATATTATAGAGTCTACGCTCTACTAGTATGCCGCTAATGTTTTTGGCCGGAACAAACTTGTACAGTGTCAAGGTACCATCAAGAAGATAACTGTTTTTTTTTATATGATATATTGGATCTTGCAGCCATAAATAAATAGGTTAATAAATACTCTTTATTGTTTTTTATTAAATATAAATTGATTTGTCACTTTTTGAGATAAGTTTTATTTGATAAAGTGACAAATAGGCACTTGAGCTTAGCAATTCGCTGACAAAATCTATGATTGCAATTTCAACACTATTACCAATCATCATCATCTGATGATGATGATGATTGGTAATGGTAATGATGATAGAGCGATGATTCTCTAATATGGACAAAAGACCGCTGAACCACTTTTGTGGTGGGAGAAAATTTCAGTCTTTCTAGTGTTTTAAGTAACATATTAATCATCTAAATAATTATAAAGATTTTAAGAAGTGACTTCACAGGTCTTTACATAGAGCTTAAAATATTATTGTATTCCAAAAAACCGACTTAAATTGTGCTATAACCAGTAATTTTGATTTATAATTGAACGGTGTGGACTGCCGTTCGGTGAGCGTGGACTGTAGGGGCGTTGGTTCAGGCTGGAGTGAAACACAGCGATTACTATTCTGTAGCCTCCGGTACCGTCTGAAGAGAGTATTTTTTCTTCTTGTCCTATTTCTTCTCGAGTGTAGTGCGTCGCTGCCCGGAAGCGAATGCCGCTCGACGGGAGGCGGCCTATCTTTATACCCGCCCGCTCGCACGATAATGTTTCCAACTCGCGATAGCGATCTGTGCGAGCGGGACGGGGCGAAAATGAACGAGACGCGTGTCTCTTCAGATCGGTACTCTATAGCGTCTATTTATTTATTTTATTTCAATTTACAATTTCTTAATTCTATTTATTATTACAATTTCTATTCGTAGGTAATAACGACAACACGCAAAGGAATACTTTATTTAACTTACACTATCTTAAATCTATGTAAATCTATGTAAAATAACAGAATACAGAACGATTAACTAGGACTTAACAACTATAAATTACGATATATACAAATAATGTCGCGAACATAATCTCCCGCCGCAGCTCTCGTAGCTGGAGTTAACTCGTGTTCGCGTCGCTCGATGTCGATGTGGGCAGTATGATCAGCTTCTTAGTGGGTCGCCGTAGGATGCCCTTGTTCGTCCGCACGTCGACTGCTCGGATCTCGCCGTCTGGTCCAGGGTAGGTCGCCACCACCACGCCTCGCGGCCATGTGTTGCGAGGCAAGGTCCCATCAGCTATCAGGACCAGGTCGTCCATTTTGATGGCTCCGTGTGTAGCTCGGGGCTCCCGCCGGTGTTGCAACTCGGGTAGGTACTCCTTCACCCACCGGTTCCAGAAGCAATCAGCTAGCCTCTGGCTGGCACGCCACTCCTTGTGTCCCGCCGCGTCGCTCTCTGTGAAGCTGCCTGGCAGTGGGACGCGCGATGGACCGCCCAATATGAAGTGATTGGGGGTTAGGGCGCTGTCGTCGTCTGCCGATGTTGACACGTGGGTTAGCGGTCGACTATTGAGGGTGTGCTCGACCTCGACCAGCAGAGTGTGGAGGACCTCTTCCTTGGGGGC